ACTCAACTGACTATATCTGTTTATCAGACAATCCACAGCAGTGCCATTTTGTACTCAAAGCGTTATAGAATTTATTGAGCTAAAAAAACACTTAAGAGCGAGTATCAGTAAATATCGAGAATCTATTGACAGATCGAAAAATTGGAAATCTTTTTTATTTCCCCAAAAGAATGCCTTTGGTAAGTTATTTTCAAAAATATAATTGAAAAGTCCGAGCGCCTTTTGTTTTTGGAGAAATTACGGGAAGATGGATTTTACGGTTTTTGGTCGCCACAAAGGAGTAAAATAGAGATTTTTTGAGGAGCTCGCGACAAAACCTCTTTACTCCAATTAAAACCATCTTTTTCCACAATCAAATTTCGTCTTTATATGTTGTAATTCAACAATAACATTCGCATATTTCAAAACTTAGAAGGGCTTTTGGTTATGACAAAGAGAGAGCATTTATCAATTCGAGGCGAATGCCAAATTTTGACCAAATTCAATACGCCGAAACGACCTGTGGTACATGAGCAATAATCCCAAAAATACAACTGGCGTAAAGGACAACCTTTGGTTTTAAACGTGCCAAAAAAGATTTGGCGGCACGCAAAACCTCTTTCGCTGAGAGGTCAAAATGTAGGTGCTATTATCATAGATCAATGTCACGTCCATCACCGTAACGCAATCTATTACAGAATACACTTGAGGTGACTAAAACGCTAAATCCCGAAGATAAGAAACCTTTTACTTATTAAACAACTTTTGGATGTTGTTCTTAAGCTTTGTCTCAGTTAGGAGAGCATTTAAGGCAAAATCAAAAGAAAAAAGTTGTCACATATAATCAAATCGATAACAGACGTCTCCATTTCAAAACACAAATCCGTCACGCTAACTGATCAAGAAATAATATCTGTAATATTCTGCTAATCTAGTAAAAGAATGAATAGATTATTGTTTCGTTGTTTTTCTAATAAAACATATGATCATTATATATAGGTTCGCATTTAGGCAAACAAATCATTTCAATACKDGACGCTAATACATCGTTTAACTGAAGTACACGCATCGTGAATAGAAACCGTATTGCACTAAACTTACTTGAAATATATGATTGTTACTTAGTTTTGTCCACTCGAAGTCTTTTAGTCTTTTCTTTTTTACTTTAGACTCGCYGTTTTGGTAACTTTTACATATTAAACTAACATACCTCGATTTATTCCTAAGTTTAGAGGCGATTGTGTGACAGATGAAGTAACACAGGTAACCCAGAAATTTGTTGGAAAAGAATTCATAGGACTTGGCTGTGTGTGTTTTCTTTTNTTTTTCAAAGGTTTTTTGGGGATATCTAAGTTGAGATCATCGCAGATACGATGGAGCATGTCCTTCTTTAGTTTCTTGAGAGTAGCGTTTGATACCATTTCACAGATGTTGAACTGATCCAAAACGATTGGATGTTGTAGTTCAAGCGATGAAAGAACAGACTGTTTCATTCCATTAAAGTTGTCCTCCTCTTTAGCAGCAATAGCATCTGCTTCAGTTGTGATAATCGTCTTTTGTTTGATCTTTGTGGCTAAGCGTGAGAAAAATGAGGAAACCTGCTCAACTGAAAGGAACTCTGACACACAAAAGAGACGATTACCATCCTCCCCACGAGCGTGCCTCATGTCTTTTGAGACATCCTCCGCCCTTAATTTTCTTCCACTTTCCTGACCAATGTTAAATTTAGCTGTTAGATAGCCCCTCTGCTTTTCGTTGAAGCGGTATTTTTTACTTGAAGATTTAAGAGCCCAGCCCTCTTTAGCAACATGRCAGCAACCTTCCAYYTCGCTGTTGTCAGTTGTTCTTAATGATGGCATCACACCAAWATCTTCTTTAAGAAGAGCAGCATATCCCTCTTTTGCAGCATCTAGCATGGTTTTCTTCTCTGGGTTCATGTTGCATGATTCCAATGAAAGGTGGTTTTCAAGGGCAGTCGATCTCCGAAAAACACGTGTGCATCCTTCCCTRGGACAGCAGTAAACAGTCGGGCCGCTTTCTTCCAATTTCTCATTACCAACGTCTTGTTCGGAGTTTGAAGCTTGTTCGGTGCGCTTTGCATTTGTCTTGACAAGTTTAAAGTCTCCTGATGAAAATGAGGCAGAAAGCCACTTGATGCTTATATCTAAAATAGAAAAACSAGCGCAAAACCCATCAGTTYCATATAACATAGCTTGAATTAAGATAATTCGTTATTAGCTAAGATTATATATTCAAAGCCGCTGTGAATTTACAAGATTAGATATATATGAATAATCACATAATTTTAATTATCCTTTGTATACTGCTAAAACAGTATTTTATAAAATTGTTCGGAATTTGCCATTTCTCTTTTTAGCTAAAATCATACCTTCTACTGCTCCTGTTTTCACTTTCTTGYCCTTTCCAACATCATACGCGCGCCATGCCATAATGTCTCCATGTTTGAACTCGAAGTTATTAAGTTTSCTTATTCCAGGAACTTTTTCAGCGTCGGGCATTGAAGAGTCGTCGATGGAAGGTATTACAGCAACTCTAACCCCTTGCACACCACCGTGTGATAGCAATGCTTTTTTCATTTCTATAGCATTGGTTACATTGTTGCCTTCATTCACATACATTCTGATGTGGCACTTGCAAGTGGCAGCAAGTCGATCCRCTGAGCCTTTCCCTCCTTGGGGGTCACTGAAGTCAATCCTTGATATCTTTATTTGTGTCGTCTTCTCAATGTGACGGCATGCGAGGATTGTGTTAGCCGAGTGGTAACACCCTGCGTTATCTTGTCGGAAAAAKGCTCTCGTCAATTCAGGATGCTCAACTTCTAAAGTCTTCAAGACGTGCTGCATGATTAGTACAATAGCCGTACTGTCTTGAGAACAAGATTCGATGATGTGAATGAAACCTTGTGACTGCAGTTGACCCTGGAAACGTCGAAAAACTACCGATATGTGCCACGAAATACCTTTTTTGCCAAACCAGTCTGATTGGGCCTCGCGGTATTGTCGTGGCAGAAATTTCATTGCCCAGTCATTCACAATGTAAAGGGTTTTTTCATCATCTAAAAGATCAATTACATCAAGTCTGGCTTTGTCTTGCCGTACACTCCTCAGTTGATGTGCTTTCCATAATTGGATGGACTTGGCTGAGGATGTTTGAAGAAACTTGACTTCGTCTCTCTCTTCCTCAGAAGAAAATGTGGTCTCTTCTATTGCCTTCTCTATGGAATCAATTGCAGCATTAAGCCTTTGGCATTGTTGACAGCTTTTGTTGTGTTTGTGAGAGCACTTGTGCTTGAAATCTTTATCTTCTTCATCACTGAGTGCGTACATATAACAGTGGTCAGGAACTTCAGCTTGGTCACTGACATGAACCTGAAGTTAAAATAACAAGTTGTTGTTACTGATGAAAGGTTATTAATAATTACATTCCAAACTTTCTTAGTTTTTTTTT